TTTTTAACTTCTTCATCTGAAACTATAACAAAAATTTTTAAAGTGCCTTTCGTAAATCTCGGTAACTTATATGCGTGCTGAAAATTTGATCGAGATCGGTTAACCGAGAGTCGAGCTACAAGCGTTGAAGGATTTAAAAAACTGCAGATTTCTCACAATTTTTGGTCAAAATCATAATAAAACTGCGATTTTTGCGATTTTTAATTTGTTGTAACTCATAACAACGTGAACCGATTTCGATAAAATGTTCAACATGCATATAAGTCACCAAGATATACGAAAGACATTTGTTAAATTTTCGTTATAGGCTAAGATTAAAAAGTTAAAGAAAACGAGAGTTTTTTATTTTTGTATCACTCCAAGTAAACGCGAAATAAAAGAAAAAAGCATATCAGTCATCGTCTAGTAGACTAGTTGCTCTATCGTCTAAAAAAATTCAAGTCATTCGGTTCAGTTTTAAAGTAGTTATTGCGTTTTAAAAGGTGCGCGAACACTTTTGTAGGTCACTGTGTGAATTTGAAGTTGGATGACAACACACACATCGGGTGTCTTAGTCATAATTAAAAATAGATTTATGGTTTTCTTTCGGAGTGTAATGCTTCATTTAGGAATGTTAAAATATTCTGGTAATATCTTCTATATTAATTGTACGCATATCAATAGACACGCAGAGTGCCTGACGCTATAGAACATGTAAACAACGAAAATACGCATGTTGAACTTCGAATCTAAGAATAATATTACAATTTCTGTAAAAGCAAGTGTCAGTAATACAGTAATGTCTCCCTAACTGACGCTCAGATTGTGCACAAAAATGGACAATTTGGGAAGAGGAGATACGATTATTCGAGCCTTGCAGCTCGTTTTTATAGTTGTTGACAATTAGTGACTATAAAAATGAACCGCAAGGATCGAATAATCGTATCTCCTCTTCGTAAATTGTCCATTTTTGTGGACAATCTGGGCGTCAATTAGAGAAAGATTACAGTATACAGGGTAAGCCGCAATTCGTAGTATAACCGAACGGAGAGTGATTCTAGGTGACAAAATAAGAAAAGAATTTGGTACAACTCATCAAGTTTTCAATGTTTTAACGTACACGGACTTTCTAATTTTGAAAATATGCAATATTCAAGGGTAAGGGTTCGAAGTTGTTTCATTGAATGATATCACACCTTCGAAATGGAAATATTAATTTTCTCCATGACTTTTGGCAAACTCGCCACAACAAGCGTCTCAAGGAATCGGTGAAACTTCTCTGAAGCGACGTTTAGGTTGACGACCTTTATAAAGCGTTTTTCGACCTGGTCCCACGAATACGGTCGACGACAGGGGAATCAACCGGAAGATTCCATGGGATCGTTGTAAAACTCAAGCGGGAAACTTCGTTCGTTAAACTCGGCCCAGTTCAATTATAAAATACAGCCGGTGGAAATGTTCTGGTTGGGAGTTCTTTAAGACGCGAATCTTCCGAGCTATCCGGATTTTCCTTATTCTTCGGTGTCAAGCATGAGAGAGAGAGTGAGTAAGAGAGAGAGAGAGAGAGAGAGAGAGAGAGAGAGTCAGAGAGAGAGAGTAAGAGAGAGAAAGAGTGAATGAGAGAGAGAGAGAGAGAGAGAGTGAGTAAGAGAGAGAAAGAGTGAATGAGAGAGAGAGAGAGAGAGAGAGTGAGCGAGAGTGAATAAGTGAGAGAAAGAGAAAGAAGGAGAAAGAGAGAGAGAGAGAGAGAGTGAGTAAGAGAGAGAAAGAGTGAATGAGAGAGAGAGAGAGAGAGAGAGGGGGACAAAGCCACCGATGGATGGAGAAAGACGAGTTGACTTGAGCTGCCAAGAAAGAAAGTTCCTCATCAAAATGCGCACTTAAAGGATTAAAAAGAAGAGGGGATGGAACCGAAAGAATACCAAATGAAGATAGAGGAGCACGCGGACGGTGAGAAGAAGATGAAGAAGAGGATTGAAGGCGAAAGAATAGAAGTGAAACGAGCGTCGAGCCGCGTCTCACGGGGAAAGCGGAGGACGAATCGACGTGCAATTACACTGGAACGCGCAATTTCCCTGTTCGCACGCCAGACGAACGAAAAGACGGCCGACGAAAACGCCGATATCGTCGACCAGCGAGTTCCCCGGCTGATCCAAAGACGGATCGGAACGATTCTGGAGACGAATTAGCGACGATTCCACGGAAAGTCACGCGTACGTGGCTCGCTTCGTCGATGCCGCTCCGGAGAAATCGCGAGTCGTTCGCAAACTATGCAATCTAGCGACGCAATTGCGCGGCATCTTCCGCTCTCCTTCTCGCGCCTCGGATGTATCCCACCGATTTTATTTATTTATTGCGAACGGTACGGTCCCCTTTTCTCTACATAAATCGGTTGTAGCGAGCGAAGCCCCTCGCTCTGCGCTTTCTTCCTCCATCGCGTTCGGTGAAGCTATTTCAACATTAATTATGTATTTACCATGGTATGCGAGGAGTACCATATTCTTCGTAACGAACAGAATTGTATGACTTTCAATGCGCGAGGAGTTTAGATCTTTCTTGCGAATATTAGATTTAGCAGATCAAATTGTAATATAGTGGCGCAGATATTCCAGTTCCCGTGCACATGTTCCAATTTCCGTGCACCCGGATTAAAAACGTATAGAAAAAGAAAAGTTTTATATATAAATTGACACCTCTCCCCCTGAATCTTATATGTTGATAGATACACATAGTAAAAAAATATATAGATTGTCAATTTATATATAAAAGTTTACTTTTTCTATACGTTTTTAATCCGGTGCACGGAAATTGGGACAGGCACGGAAACTGGGACATCTACCCTAGTGGACAGTTAATTTTACGTGAACCCAAGTCAAGCATTGAAAGATATACGTAGATATCTGCAAACTATGAAAGAAAGTCATTTTCGCTATCTTTAATTATTTTTAGTTTATAACAACGTTCGCCAATTTCGATGAAATCTTCACCATGCATATAAATCACCGGGACCTATGAAACGCTTTATTGAAATTTTGTAATAATATACTTGTTACCAGTTACCATTACTTGTTATCATTAAACTATTCGACTCACTTTGTCCAAATAATCTCGCTTTACAATGAACAATTTGGTCACAACTAATTACTAGACCGCGGATTTTATACATTTATGGCAAAGATAGGTGGTCAAAATTGTGATCAATGAACAGGTTTAGAGAAACTAAGTATATTGGAGCACTAATTTCGACTAATTAAAATGATTAAAGAAAACGCTCAAATTATACTTGGCCTCCATATTTTACAATTGAGGCAGAAAATTTTTATTTTACGTAAAGATCCGCAGTCTACTAATTACACAACGTTAAAAATGCACTTATATTCACTTTCATTTCTTGAGCTTTAAAAATCCCTATGATGAAATTACTAGTCCAAAAATTTCATAATAGCTTTTATAAATTATTCTAATGAAATATGACACATATTTATGAAATTAAATACAATATTATTAAAAAATTATGAATATACTATTGTATAATATATTATACACTATTACAAAATCAATACTGTTAGATTTTTACGTCATAGCATTACACTTACCTATTGCATACACGAATATAATGTTGTATATAACATATATTTCTAGTTAATTATTTAAAATTGTTTATAAAATGATTCGGCATAAGTCGTTGCCAAAATGGTAGTCTACGACTCGAAAAGATCCATGAAATAGTTAATTTCACAATTGATAGTGCATAACGAACTATCACACGAATTAAATCTATGTTTCGACGATTTTCGCTCACTGCGGAGTTTGCCACGAACTTTTGCTGGTTCACGATCGGATGCTAAGCCGACAGTTCGCGCTCTTTACCTGGAGTTAATCTCGGTCAGCAAAGACTTAAAGGAATCTGTCCGAAGAAATCGCGATGCTGCGAAGGTGCGACTCTCGCCGCGGCGAAGATCGTCTTCTGGAATCACCCCCGAGTTCTCGCGAACTTTCCGAACTCGTCGAACAATTCGACCGCGGATTATGCCGAGATATGTTCCGCGGAAAGTCGAGTAAATTTCTTTAGAACTCGCGGCGGCGTCGCGCGTGGGCGAGGTTTTCCATCGGCGAAACAAATAAAACAATCGTACGCCTCGCGTCGCGTCGTCTCGACGACGTCGACTGCCGGGGAAATTGCTCGTTCCCCCGTCGTGGCAGAACTTCAAGCTCGGATTAATGAGATGTCCGTTCGAAGAAAGGCCACTCTCTGGCTCCTCTGGTCAGGAGCCGGCGCTCGGCGCGGCGTGCACCGCCGAGGAAACACGTTCTACTCGTTGTGCTCCGAAACGAGTCCGGTTCATTTGATTCTCGTTAAACGACGACGGGAGGAATAACTTTGCAACGACTTGGTAATTGCTCGATTATTCGTCTCGCGGTAATTAGAATGTCGCGGATCGGAGAGACAGACCGCGTCCGCCGAGATTTGCCCCGCAGCCGATTACCGGCTCGGCTCGGCTCGGCCCGGCTGTCTCGAGGCTGCGCCGAACAAAGCATTTCCGTTATTTATGTAACAGGAAAGTTTGAGAAACGCGGACGCGGATCTCCGCTTGATTTGACGACTCTCCCTCTCTCTCTATCTCTCTATCTCTCTATCTCTTTCCCATTTCAACTCTTCTCTTTTCCTCTATCCACCTTTCCCTCTCTACCTCTCTCTCTCTCTCTCTCTCTTTCTCTGTCTCTCTCTCTATTTCGCTCTCCCTCTCCCTCTCTGTCTCTCTTGTCTCTGGCTTGTTTGCCCGAGCGACTTCTTTTTCTAGCTTTTGAATGTTAATAAAGTTCCGCAGGGACGAGGATGGGATAGGATGGGTTGGGTTGGGTTGGGCTGGGGCTGGGGCTGGGCTGAGATGGGCTGAGATGGGATGGGATGGGCTGGGCTGGGCTGGGCTGCGCGCGGCACAAGCGATCCAGGTCACCTCCTTCGAGAAGCCTTTTGAATTTTTCTCGAGGGGATGGTAACTTTTCACCTTTCTTTACAGAACAACCATGAATCGGTACGCAGGTTGCTGCCTCCTCGTTTTAATATCGTGCATCCTTGCTAGCGATCTGCGGTCCGGCTCCGATGGCAAATCACTGTCGCGGAGGCGGCGCTACGTTGTCTTTCCAGAGGGCTCGACTTTCTCCGTAAGTAGAGTGAACTCGACCCCGAATAGGACGCGACCCCGAAACGGGAACACCTGTCTGTCGCAGCGGCGCCCGCCGGTTTTACCGAACGCGACGAGCCCCGCGGATCGCCGTATCAGTTTATCGGATCTTTAATATTTCACGCGCGAAACACGATTCAATATGAAACGTTGAATCGGACATGAATTGTTACGATCTAACATTCATGAGGTTCCGTTGCGCATGGTACTTCGCGCGACGTACAAATTGTAAATTATTACCGTCGATGCGTGCCACCGTGATTCACCGTGTGCACACCGGGATCGTTGAACGACTGCGATCTCGATATAGATATAAGTCGGTACACGCTGACTCGCGCCGAGGAATGATTCGCGGTCTGAATTATTCCAACGCCGGTCGCGGATCGCGTGGCGTTGCGAAGAGACCGGGGGCCAAAGTAACATTGTAAATAATCTAAAATCTGTAACGGTTATCAGTGAACATTGTGATACATTTCGCAAGACCACTATTCCAACGTATACATTGTTATTTTAATCATACGCAATTTAGACACATGTATACTAATCAAAACGATTTCTCAATATCCCAGATAAACTTTTACTTAAATGCTTAACGTTGTGATTGGTGGGCTGCCGATCTTTATGAATTATGTAGATATATATAAATGCTTTATTGTAAAGAGAAAATGAAACTGCTACTAGACCTCGTTAATTTAGACGTTTTCTTGCATTTCAAAAATCTATATTAAATAAA